CCCCACCCCCACCCCACCCCCGCTTTTGGTGGTACTAGCAATTGAATCCAGGGCCTTCCAACTGAGCTCCAGCGACCCCCTTTGTAAAAATTTTTAGTACTGGGCTGAGGATTTAGCTCAGTGGTTCCACCACCTGCCTCACAAGAGCAAGGACCCAAGTTCAATCCCAATTATTTTTAGTACTACAGAAGCTAGGCTGGAGGTGCATGGCTATAATCCTGGCAGTTGGGAGGGAGGCAAAAACAGAAGGATAGTGAGTTCAAGGCCAGACTGAATTACACAGTAAGACCCTGTCTCAAAAAAACCCAAAATATGGGGCGGGGGATTTAGCTCAGTGGTTCCGGCTCCTGCCTCAAAAGCACAAGGTCCCAAGTTTGATCCCTGGTACAAAAAAAAAAAACCCAAAATTTAACTAGTACAAAAAAATTTTACTTGTACATATTTGTGATATATAGCAATAACATTCATTGTGGTAAGTTGGTACATGTACATGAGACGTATTCTTTTTATCACTCTTCCCCTCCTCTACTTCCCTTTTTTTTTTTCATTTTTGAGACAGGGTCTCACTATGTAGCTCAGGGTGGCCTTGAAGGCACTATGTAGACCAGGCTGACCTTGAACTCACAGAAATCCTCCTGCCTCAGCCTCCTGAGTCTTGGGATTACAGATGTGTGCACCACCATGTCTGGCTCCCCAGTCATTTTTTCATCTTTTATTTTGAGACAGGGTCTCATTAAATTGCTACATGGCCTCAGCCTCCATTCTGGACACCTTACCCTGACCATTCAAGCATTTTAATTTTCACATTTTGATCACAGAATGTTAGTAGTAAAAACTGCTTTAGAAGGCCCAGCCACAATACTTTGAAAGTCTCCACTCTTTAGCAAACTTTTCACTCTCCATATCCCTGTTTCCTCATCTACAAAATAGGGACAGAGTTGTTAAGTCAGGAGGTCTCAATCTGGGATGCTCAGATCTATGATAAAACAAAAAAGGTGTAGCATTGTCCACATTTCAGAAAAGTTAAAGAAACCACACATCTATTGCTCCTTCAAGAAGCATTTCTTGGGCTGGGGATTTAGCTCAGTGGGACCGCGCCTGCCTGGCAAGTGCAAGGTCCTGAGTTTGATTCCTGGTACCAAAAAACAAAACAAAACAAAAAAGAAGTATTTCTTATGGCCAGCTGTGGTGGTCCACACCTGCAACACAGCACTTCAGAGCCTGAAGCAGGAGGATGACCTTGAGTTTGAAGTCAGCCTGAACTATATAGCAAGACCCTATCTCAAAAACAAACAAAACCCAAGAATTTTTATTTTATGTACTTATTCATTTTGGGGTTTTTAAGACAGGGTCTTGGTAAGTATCCCACGCTCGCCTCAAACTCCCAGGGATCCTCATCCCTCAGCCTCCCAAGTGCTAGGAACTATAGCCATTTATCACCAGTAAAAAAAATCTTTACATCAATTCTGATTAGTACCTGCTGATGTCTTCATTAACTTAAAAATGGAATCTTACGATTGGGGCCCGGGATTTAGCTCAGTGGCACCGTGGCTGCATCCCTCGAAAGCACAAGGTCCTGAGTTTAATCCCCAGTACTGAGGAAAAAAAAAAAAAAAGGAACCTGATAAATGCTTTTCTTTTTTTTAATGCTTTTCAAAATATGGGTCCATAGGACTTATTATAACAAGAACATAGTTGGTGATGACTGGCTGGCAACACTAAGATATAGCACAAACAAAACTATTCCATCAAGTGTAAAGTGGTACATACATTTACCTATTCAACAGATTTTTTTTTTTAATGTAATACTGGGAATTGAAACCGGGCATTCACACTGAAATATATTTCAAGCACTTTAAAAATGTTTTTTCTTCTGGTTCAGTTTTGATTTTTTGAGACAG